CATAGCAAAACTAACAATACTATCATAATAAAACTAATATTATGATACTAGTTAAAATAATATTTAGATCACAGCAAAACTAATATAAGTATTATAACAAAAGTATTATTTGTATAATCTCTAAAATATATAAAAGTGATATATCTTAGCTAGTAAATTTAGATAATTAATAAGTTAATAAGTTAATAAGATAGTTATTAGTTAGTTAATTAGTTATTCAGTTTGAGTTTTATGAGTTTAGTTCTCAATTTGCATTTTAGTAGATTATAATTTTAAGAGAATTCTAAGAAATTTCTCTTGTAAAATAGATCTTGATTAAGATTTATTATTTCATTTTGTTAATAAACTGAACATTATATTTATCTTGAAATTATATTTTGAAATTAGATTACATTCTAGCTAGTTATAACAAGAACATTATTATTACCTATCTTTAGATAAATAATAATATTTATATTCTTGTTAATAAATCTTTGAAAGACTCTTCTAAATATTATTTTAAGCATATAGTCACTTTTATCACGTACTTTTATAATATTAAATTAAATATTCATCTCTATTTCAGAACTCACATTAAAAAGGTAACAATACTCATATTTTTATTGAATAATTGTTTAGTTATATTTTATTAGATAATAATTAAGATAGTATTATTAATAGATATTTTTAGATAGTTTTACAAGCATAATATTTATAATAAAATTATTATAGCAAAGTTAGCAAAACTATCATAGTAAAACTAGTAATATTATCATAATAAAATTGATATTATGACACTAGCAAAAGTAGTATTTAGATTATAATAAAAGTATCATTTGTAAAATCTTTAAAATGTATAAAAGTAATATATCTTAGTTAAAAATCAAAAAGTTAATTAATAAAAAATTAAAAAAAATAAATAAAATGATTTAATAAATAATGAATAAATTAATGAATTAAATAATATGGTCTGGTGCAAAAATGTAGATACATGAAAATTATTATCCAATTTTCCTGACTGATACAAAACTTGTTAATTAAGTCATATGAGCATACAAATAATATAAAAGGTAAAGAAGCTTTTAAATTATAAGTTTTTTAAAAATTTACATGATATTTATTTTTACATGAATAACTTGGATAGGGATCGAACTCCATTAACTGACAATAAATAACAAATAATTTTTAATATCCACCAGTATTTTTTTGATGTCTGATAATATCAAAACTAACAGCAGACTTTCATACTACACAAGCAGATTGCTACAGTTCTTGGTATTGGGAAGACTACAGTTACATGAGTAGTTTCTGAACAAAATAAAAAAAAAATCAAGAACTCCCAACTTGAAAAAATTCTGATCACCTCAAAAAATATCTTGATCAAAGTATTCCTGAACTTATTCGTGAATTTATTACATCTGCTAATATCTCTGGAACTCCACTTTCAACATATATATTACAACAAAAACTTGCAGAAAATAGTTATAACCTCTCAAAGTGGCAGTTACTTTATATACTTCATATATTAGAATATTATTACAGTCAGGATGAATGCTAAAACATCTTGCATAAATCACTAGCAAATGTTGCATTTCATAACTGTTATTTACGATATCAGTTTGAAAATCTACAAGGAAAAAATAAAGTTTTAATCAGACTGGAAGTTTTCTTAGATGAGTTATATTATCATTTGCACCATATTACAAATCATACTTGGATGCTAAATCATGAAGTTGTATACTCACCTGGGTGTGGTCCTTTAATCATTATTTTTGAAGCAATCATTGTGATATGTAATGGTAATACAAATAAGCTCTATGCTAAAATTATTCCTAATTTTTTTTTAATTTGAGATCTATCAATCAAATCACCTTTCTTAAGAGGAAGAAAACAAGCAAATGCTGATGTCTGGAATGATATTCCCAAAGTTATTCAAAACTCTAATCTTATAGTGAATCATGTTAACTATCATAGTAATTTTATGACTAAAATCTTTGAGAACCTTTTCAAAAAACTCTGTGCTAATATTATAAAATATTATAGGCCAGTAGATATCCATATGGATGATGCTTATTATCATAAACGTCAAATAGAATAAGTACTAACATCAAACTTGAAAAAGAATGCCTTAATAGCATGATTATCTTTGGCTGGTGTTGATATTCTGAAAAATCCTAGCAAAGCAGAATTATATGAGTTAGTAAAGAAAAATAAATACAACATACCTTTTACATGTGTTGAGATAGCTAGAAAGTATAATCATAATTTATTTTATACTCCATCTTATCACTGTGAACTTTAATCAATTGAAGAAGTTTGGTCGGTCATAAAAGAAGAAGTTGCTAAGTCTGGTTCTTATTCTAGCCTTTTAGCTATTAGGGATAAATTATTGCATACCTTTCAAGAAAAGGTTACAAGTAAAGTTATTATTGGCTTTTGGAAAAGATTATTTGATAAAGTCACAGAATATCATCAATCAAGTGATGATGTGTAGCTGATCGAAAGTGATGATAATGATTTTGAAGTCAAAGAAATTAATAACTAATAAAATTTTTTATAAAAATTAAATATTCAAATAAAATTTATATGAAAATATTTTCTAAAACCTATATAATAAATAAAGTCATTTAAATATTTATATTAAGTTGTTCAAAAAATTTTTTTATTATAAGCATATTAGTGTATCTACATTTTTGTACTGGATCATAATAAGATAAAATAATAATTTAAATATAATAATGTTATAAATTAATAATCTTTATTAAAAATATCTTATTTATTATCATACATTTCTTATATTATGATCTCAGATTTTATTCTAGCTAATTATATTATGAATATACCCTTGTTACTTATTTTTAATCTCATTATAATCATAGTCTAATGTCTATTATATTATATTTATGATTATATTAGTCTCTCCTACCTGTAATTCATAATATCTTTATTATATCTTATCTTGATCAAATATTATATATAAAGCTATTAACCTATCATGAAATAATCTTTTTAAGAGATACTAAAAATGATAACAATATAGATAATAATATAAACTAAAAATAAAATTAATTATAAATAAGATTAATTAATATAAATTACTTATTCATCTGATTTAGTAGTGATTGATAATTATTACACTATATACTGTGACTGCATCATATATTATACTGTATCTACTATATTATATGAATAGGTAATTGATTATAATATATAATATATAATATAATATAAGATATTAGAGAATGATATTTATAATAATATATCTATTATTATCAAACTATAAGATTATTTTGTTAATTATTATAAATAAGATAAAATAAGATATAAATAGTTTTAATTTTATTATTTTTATTATTTAAAAATATTCAGATCTAAGATAAAAGTACAGAACAGAAAGAACATATTTATAGTAAAAGAAATAAATATAAATATGAATAAATTAATAATTGTATATTAAACATAATTAATTAACTTAATTCATATTTTCAAAAAATAACTAATCATAATCTAATAATTAATAATGTAATAAATAAAATATAAATAATAATAAGAAAAAATAAATAAAAATTATAAAAGAAAATTATAAAGAAATTTAATTAAAAATATTAATTAACTAAATTAATAATATAGATATACATGATAATTATCTGTATAATAATATGTTAAATCTAATATATTAAATATATAAATGATTATTTGTATATCCAGAGTGAAATTGATCTTTATAAAAAGTGATATAAAGGCTAATCTATTATACAGATAGTGCAAAATAAAGATCTAAGCTAAAGAGAAATAATTTAATTAAAATTATTACAATAAATTTACAAATTTTATTATTATTTTCTTCTTATTTAATTTCTTAAAGATATTTTTTTTTATAAATATTATCTAATTTAATTCTTTTAATTAGATATAATTATTAATATTATTTTTATTATATTTTTAATTAATTAAAAATATCATATTTAATTTATTCTTTATTTAAAAATATAAAGAAAGATAAGAAAATAATATAAAGATGAATAGAATTCTTATATATATATTATCAAATCTCTTTATAATCATATCTCTTTATAATCATCTTTTTTTATAGTCATCTTTTTTGAGTTTTCCAGTTACTAATTAATTATAATTAAAAAATTTCTCTATAATTATATTAATGATCATTTCACTATACATATAATATAATCATGAAGTATAGATGAATCTTTAGACATTAAAAAAGTGATTAAATACACGGATAACAGTTTAATGGTTACATATTGATCTACCCCACAATATATCCTAAAAACAATCTGTCATTTTGGATCCAATAGCTCAAAATTCAATTCACCGAATTTTGTAATACATGTATATAGTCGATGCAGCGCGAGTCGTCAGCGATCATTCAAAATATGATTGTTATGAGGAGTTTACCGATCACTACACTAAACACAAAAGGAATATTTTGGAGAGATTGACGGTCTGAAAGTTAGTAAAGAATTTTTGTTTTCATGCACAAATTATTTAACTAATGAAAATTCCCACCCGAGTATACAATAATATTTGTAGAAATGATTTAAACTCGTTAAGCGAACCATTAAATTTCGTTTTTATTACTTTTCGTATTTAAAAAAAAGGAAATTTCAGATATCATATCAACAATACACAAACAACAACTGTAAAGTTTGCTCAAAACGGATAATAATATGACCTCAAGCTGTTAAATATACATTTTTAAAAATTGTTTTAAAAGAATAAAGAGATAGAACGATAAAGCAGGCGTACATACGGAATATCACGGATTAATAAATTAGATGCTAATTATAAAACCAGAGAAAGTTTGTTATATCGTACTTGATTTACATGTATTAAAAAACAAATTTTGGGTTTTTATAATTTAATTTTAGAAGTTGCAAAACTATGTTTGTGAGAAAAAGTTTTGGAAGAAGAGGAATGTAATTTTTCCTTTACAGCTATTTTTAAAATTTTTATTATGATAAATTAAGAATTACTGCTTTAATTTACCTATAATAGTTTAATCATTCCGTGTTGGAAACCAGAGTTGTCATCTGAATAGTATCACTAGGAAGAAAACTTTCTGGATCCATAAAAAAAGGCATCCCATATGTTGTATACGTCAAATTTTTCATAGTATATGATTGATAGCTGTCATTGGAGTACGGTTGATAGCTGTCAGTAGGGGCAGGGTATGGTTGATAGCTGTTTAGGTTTTGATTATAAGTCGGGTAAGATGTGGATCTTTTTTTTCTGTTTAGCACAAAAGCAAAATAAATTTTAATAAATAAGATAATCTTTGCATAAATTTTACAAAACAAGGCAAATTGAAACTCACTTTTCCTTCTTTAAGTCTTCGTATAATTGTTTAAAATAACTAGAAAGCATATGTTTATAACGATTGTCATTATAAAAATGTGCACTAAGTTGTGATATAAAATGCAGTTCAGCATTATCAGGAAAGTTAAATAAAAGGCATGCTGGTTCAGTACAATGTAATTTCTTTACAATGTTAACTGACAATAGAATCCTAAATAATAAAAATTTATTGGGAACTTTTGTGTTTAATTTTTTGAAAAATTTATGTCTATATTCTTCATCTAAAGAATCTAAGAGAAATTTATGGTTACAATTACGTGAATATGCAAAAGTTAACAAGAAGAAACCATTGTTTTGGTCATTAAGAGTTGTATTTTCTGGCATCACGAAATTAATCTTGTTAGATGACTGCATTTCATGAACGTTTGACCAGTTAAGAATATTAGTCTCTAAAAATGAGAATAAATTCTTTTATATAATTTTTGTCTACATTTATATATATAATCTAGCTGCCGCTGGAGCGAAACTTCGATTTGGCAATCGATCTGTGGTTGTGTAATAAGATAAAGAGTACTCTTCATTTAACAGCCGCTAGAGCGAAACTTCAATTTGGTAGTCGATCTGTGGTTGTGTAATAAGATAAAGAATACTTCTACATTTAGCAGCCCCTCGAGCGAAATTTCAATTTGGCAATCGATGATGATGATCAATGGACATTCTCGCCAATCTTCCGGGGAGGGGGATTTGTGAGAGAAAATCCAGAACAATGTCGATGTTAAGACACGCGTTTGTCTCGTCTAATCTATGCTGAAAAGAATTGTTGATGTAATAAAGACCTTAATCTAAATTGAAAATAGTTTGTTTTTAAAAATTAGAATTTTGACGGTTATTTTTTATTTTGTTCAAAAAAGAACAAATATAATGCAACAACAAAAATTGAATATATTTGGTGGTTACAAAAAATTTAACTAAATAACATTATTACATTTTAAACTATAGGATTGTATCATTAATAATGATTGTGATACTTTTAATTGTAGAACGATACATTCATTTAAATTTTAAATGTTGCATTATTTTTGATCGCCACTGTAAGTGATGTTTATACTTCTATTAGAATTATTAGAATTGACATACAGTTTTTGGTAAATTTCGTGGGCAGTTCCCTCTTTATCCAAATAGTCTTGGTGTCAGATACTTGAAAACATAAGGCGCGATTTTCTCGCCTTGCTCTTGCTTCAAAATGCTTCTATGGTACTATAGTTTTTTGCTTCCATAGTGGATTTGATGTAAATCATCAACTTCATGTGTATATTTTATGTAGGGATATTCCCGCGTCTTATCAGAAAATTAAATGATCTAATGTGCTCAATATGCAATCAAAAGATGAGTTTTAAAAAGGAGGCACTCTAGCTAGTATCATACAATTAAAATCGTAATTGACATGAACGATGTCGATCACGGCTTTTCACAATTAGCTATTTAAAGTTTGGTGTTGCGCTTGTTTGGCTCCATTTCCGCAGCAGGGCGAGACGTATCACAATTAGTCCATAACGCATTGGAGACAACGAGGAGCGTGTCGATGAAGGCAGGCAGTTGCTCAAGTGACATGGGCACATCGATATGACCAGCCTCCACCATAACGTACAGGCCGTCATATAAGAGTGGTGAGGTAAAATGTGATATGCCGCCCTGTTAAGCTCTTGTCAGCGTGATGTTTGATCAAAGTAAAAACCTAAGTTGGAATCTTAACAACTTGAAATCCGAGCATGCAGTTCTTGTTATAAAAGTCGATAGCGTCTTTATTAAACACGGCAACCCGGACAAGATCAGTGCAAAGGCTGTAGAGGTTGTCCATCTCTTCCTGCACTTTCGCCTCTCCATATCCCCTACTTGAGCCCCAAGATAGTCGATCCGTATCATTTATGAACATACTGAGGTGAGTATCGTATCGGATGAATCCAATGTGAGCCACCATTACGAAGTTTTAAGAACTAAATTGTATCCATATATTCGAAACTAAAGGCCACCAATTATTATTATTTAATCAATTAATCGTTTTCACATTGCAACATTTTCTATTTTAAAAATCTCTGACATATCACGGCGTCAGGCTGCTTGGATCTGCCTGTTAGCTTTCGATTTTTGGATTCTGGCGCTTCTTTGTTAGACCTGTTTTTTTTATTGTTAGAAAATGCATATATGAAATATTAGATCAACGGGCTTGCCACCGCAAAAATACACCACGGTCCGGATCCGCGAAAACTGGGCCGAGAACCGGATCGATGTACGTGGTGCATAGTTCTATTTCTCCAACGGAGGACTTCAACGTGACTCTTGGCACTCTTTCGATACTAATAGAAAGTGTTAGTTACTGTAAAAATTTCTCCGACAGTCAAGCGTAATCTTACATTTTCATAACGGTCTTAATAACCGCGCGTTCCTCATAGGCACGACCAACCGTGAGTGTTTGCAATTCTGAAACTGCCGTATCTCTCACGATCTCCTCTCGTTGGAGGTGCTATAGCAAGAAAAGTCTAGAATAAGTGAACTTTCAAACATCGAATAAAAGCAATGGAGAAAGCATACCTTAACAATGCGGGTAAAACTCCAGCATCTAATTCCCGGTGAATATTCAATAAGTTAATTATCCAATAATATTGTGATATGAATTTAGCCAATAATAAATAATGAATAATATTCTTAATAAAAATTTATATCACAATAGGATTCTCTTCATTAGTATTTTGCTTCACAAAATTTAAAGGAGCCTCCGCACAACATCCTTATACATTGCTTCCAATAATTCAGTCCCGAATACTTCCACCATCAACGAGCAATGTTGTTGTGGTTTTAGTAAAAGGATGTGAGAGAGAGATCTAAGTATAAAAAAAATTGTGATCAGATTTCTGCAATAATTCGGTAAATTGAAGAAGTTAAAAACATACAGTACTTGTTGTACGTGGATTTTCACATGAAGACCTTGCGCCTTGGCCACGTCTCCTTGAATAAGTGCCATTTCTCAGAAACGTCAACGTCAATTACGAACCATCTGGACTCTTTCTGAGGCAAAGGTCCCAGTTGCAGTCTCACCACATCGTTGATAATGACTGGGCAGTCAAGCGGCACAATTCCAGCAACAGAAAGAGCCAAGTCGGATTCGTCGTCATCATCAGATATGATAATACCCGTAGTGTGAAAGGGTGAAGGTGATGAAGGCCGTGAAATCGGCATAGGGACGGAGGGATTTTTCCTTGTTGGTGAACAACAATCACCATTTTCTCAACAACAATCATCATTCCCTCAACAATCAATATCGATGGGCATAGATCCATGGTCAATGCAATTATTGCAAACTCAGCAGCAACAACAATCACCATTCCCTCAACAACAACAATCACCATTTCCTCAACAACAATCACCACCATTCCCTCAATCTAATACAAGAAGCTTATATATTGTGACCATTAATACAAATATAATATCCTTTGCAATTCATATCACGACAAGGAATTAAGTGTCTGAAAGAATGTAATCAAATCTTATGTGAAATTGTTGGTCTTACGCTTGATCACCAATTATTTTGGGTAATAACAGTGTTCAGAAATAACTGTACCTTGCTATCTTCGGCTTGTGCAGAAATCTTAGGCTAAATACGAAAGTTGTAAAGCGGTGTTTAATATGGTATTAATTAATACAGAGTCCTCACCCGTTTTACTTGTTCATGGCTGTTCTCTGCACCGCGTTTCCCAAGTTCCAACGCACTTGATAAAACGACGCGCCCATGTGACATTCAGCCCATTCCAATCAGCCGTATTAGAAGTTGTGGAGAGGATGACATCGTGGTTGAGGGTGAGAAATTTGTAGTACGTGTGCTTATCAAGAAAGGAAGCCAGTCAATTTTAAAGGATTCTTCAAATATCTAAGGTGAAAAAAGAGCAAAATTTTTGTCCAGGGTATTTCTCCATCATGGAAACGAAGACTCTAATACGTATGGGTCAGGAACAATTGGCAAAGAAGAACGTCAAAAATACCAAGCGATGCGATAGCAAAGTGGCTATCGGAAAGAAGAAACCTACCTGTTGATGGCGAAGTCCTTAAAGTGATCTATGTAAAAAACGCAAGGAATGAGGAAGGAGCCTATGTGCAGAAAGAATGAAACTAGTAGTGAAGAGCAATACCGCAGGATGTGTGGAAATTTTTGTTGAATAAAGAAAAATAAACGTGGGCGTTTTCTGGTTACGGAACTAACACGTCTCAAGACGCGTATTCATTACTCAACAAAAGGCGGAGACGCGTTCGATCACCTTGTACACCAAAAAAAACTCGGGCATGTGATCTATCTCACCTTTCACATGATCAAAATAATTAGCCAATCAAATATAATAAAAAATCTCATCTCTATAGTAACAACTGTTTGATTATCTGTCCATATGTGAGATAAACTGGATAGATTTCTTCTTTTTCCGGAAAAAAAGGTGATTGATAAGACAAACCAGTAATACAAGATTTAACCTCAAAAAGATAATTACGCACACAACACAATGGGAATTTTTCGCACGCACGATGTACGTGTGAACGTAATATAATTTGCCACACATGCATAATAACGATAAAACACATAGATTATCGATGATTTGGCTGCGATTATCGAAAGGTTCTGTTAATTATATATCACGTGGTAACTATAATAAATTATATTAGATCATCAAAAGGAAGAGATGCAAGTTTTCTCAATTTTCGTCATTGTTATTATTCGAATTATATAAATATGAATAATATGAATACAAAAATTCAATATTTATATTATATTACTTTTACTCTTTCCTTCCTTCCTTTTCTTCTTTTAATAATTTTTAATAGTTTAAGATACTATTCAAAATACTTTTCATATTTTATTTAGTCTGTCACTGGTATCGTATTATAAATATCGTCAATATTAGCTCCTTATAAGTAATATGATAATGGCGACTAGAGTTCAGTCGTTTCATTCTTTTTCTGGACGACACGAGTTAAATTTGAGAAGTTTAGTCAATGGTCATTATAATCACAATCACAACTACCAACACTCGCACCTCCAATATCAGCATATAAAACTTAGTAGTGCACTGAAAAGTATATGTCTCTTGCGTGGGTATCACGCGTCTAGAGCTTCTCTTGGCGTAAGTATCCTTATAGAAAGGATAGAGCTCTTTTACTATATGAGTAGATAATGAATTGGGCAAAGATTTTGTAGTAGTAAATTATTATGAATTATTCATTAATTAGATAAAAAAATGCATGATTCAAATTTAACTGATACGAATTGATGTCTTTATTTATAATTCTATGTTAATTGCTATCATGGTTATTTTGATTCGTGGTTGCCAAATTACCATTAAAAGAATGCGGTGAATCATACCATATCTAATGCCAATTCACCAGTCGAACATCCAATAATGCCGCCTATCAACTTTGATCGTGTAAGTTCTTTAGCTAGTATTCACACGGAACATTTAGAGGGAGGAAAGAGATGAAAGTTTATGCAAAGGGCTGTAAGAATATTACTAACTTTATATTCTTTTTACCGAATCATAATCAAATCTATATGAATCTATGATTATTATATTCTTTTTTGGGTTGGTCGCACATATGTTATAGAATCTTCTGATAGACGTCCTCAAAACGGCACCAACCCAACGAGAAGCTCGCACATTTGTTAAACGATTTGCGAAACGTGAGCAAAATTTAAATGAACAAAAGCAACAGCAATCAGAATCAAAAGAAAAACATGAAAAAATTCCCCTCGAAAACTCAAAATCTTTAAAACGGGACACGGAAAAATTAAAATTCATCGATTCATTATTATCTCCATCAATTGATCACATTGCCCTGATAAAGATACAAGGACCATTAAATGAGTTGTATCGTAAATACATTGCGAAGACATTGCTACATTTGCAAAAGTTGGGGTTGATGTCGATTGTGGTAGTTGGGAATGAGGACTGGAAAGAGATGATTTTGGAAGGGTCGTCCAGGTTTCGAGAATTGTCTCAAAAAATGATTGCGGAGGTTGGATCGATTTGTGATGCGATTGAACAAAATGGTGGTAGAGCCACGCCTATATATAATAGCGTTTTCACTATTGATAAAAACCCACAAGACTTTTCCGACTTGGATACAAAGAAAAAACTGCGAACTACGCGATTTCCTGGTCTCGGAGATATAGACGTTTCATTGTCTTGGTTGAAATCATCATTGAAATTTGGTCAGATACCATTAATTCTTCCTATTGTGGTAGATAAATTATCAAATCAATTAGCTGTACGATCAAATATCGCGATGATTGCTCTCTCGCATGCATTATCAAATCTATCTGATACTGGTTTCCTAAAAACACCTGAACTAGAACCCATGAAAATAATATTAATAAATACCGAAGGAGGCATTCCATCGCAAGAACGCCGTGGATCACACGTATTCATAAATCTAAAAGAAGAATACGAACAAATCAAACAAGACTACCAAGTTAATCCACAATGGAATATCACGCACTCAACCGGTCTCGAAAATTTAGATATGATGAAGACTTGTTTGGATAAATTACCATCTACCTCATCGGGGATCATTGTGCCAGCTTATGCACCAACTGTCTTGCTCTCGAACCTTATCACCGATAAACCATTGTTCTCCTCATCATTACCGCTTTCTTCACCAACCACTCCGTGGACTACTACTACCATATTACGAACGGGAATGCAAGTAATACATCATAGTTCATTCGACACTATTGATATACCTGCATTTAAAGCGCTTGTCGAAACTTCATTTGGGAAGAAATTAGATTTGGAAAATTATCTAAAAAGAGTGGAAAAGTGTGTTGATACTATCATTGTTACTGGTGATTACGCGGGAGTTGCTGTGATTACCATGGAATCAGCTTCCATGGAAAAGAACAATAATGATAATGCAGAAAGAGATGTAATACCATATTTGGATAAGTTGGCGGTTGATCCAGAACATCAGGGAACTGGCGTGGCTGATCTTTTGTGGAAACAAATACAAATAAAATACCCGAAGATTATGTGGAGAGCGCGAGTTAATAATCCGGTCAATAAATGGTAAGTAGTTTTGTTTTGTTTGTGCTGCGATATGTTATTTTTTATTGTGGAGCTTACGCAATAGTCATGTAAATTTTTCCAATTAAAAGGTATTTTGAAAGAGCTGATGGAAATCTTCGAGTGCCTGGTTCCCAATGGATGATGTTTTGGTATGGAAACGAGGAATTAAAACGGATAAAACAACATGCAAAAATAGTGCAACAGATACCATCTTCTATTGTTCACTGATCTAATGCATTATAAAGCTTACGTGATTTAGGAAAAATTGATTTTTGTAATAGTATAAGAACAATATTTTATTATTTTTTGCTATGATAATTATTTATTTGTTTTGAATGATTCTTTTTGTATTTTTATCTAATAATTGAACTAGAAATTCTTTATAATTCAAGTTTTATAAATTTTGTATTAGCTTACTAATAAGTTAAGAAAAGTATTTTCAAAGATTCTTTTTAATAATATAAATCAAATCTCTCGATTAATTTGATTTTTTTATGATTAAATAATTTATACAAGAATAAATACAAAGTTTTTTTACATTTATTATTATATTAAAATAAAAATTTGTTACAATAATAATTAATGTAATAAAAAAATAAGTTTCATAATATTAAGATATTTCATACAAGTTTAATAGATTTTGCTTATAAATAATATAATTTTTAGATATTAAAAAATCAAATTGAATTTATTGATTAATTATCTTATAAATTATATATTTATCTATTATATAGCATTACTTATAGTATCTCCAAAATATAGTACCCTTCATTATTAAGACTTGGATATTATTTAAATTTAATTTTGTTAATTCTTGATTAGTATTTCTCTATTATATAATATCTATAACATAATACTATTCAAATAAAATATCTGATTCCATATAAAATATTCAGAATACTATTTAATTTTAAAGAAAGATATTCTTGATTAAGATCTGAAATATTATTTAATTTTAAAGAAAAATATTCTTGATTAAGATTCAGAATACTATAAGCAGTACTATATAATAGTAAGTATTATTATATTATTTTTTTTAAATATAATTATAATATATTAAAAATATTAATAATAATAATTTTTTTATTTAATTCTATATATTAAATATAATTCAATCTATCTTATTATCATATATAATTATTTCATACTTGAAGTGAATATAATAGTAATCAAAAGTAATGACTTAGAAACTAAATTTATTAATAAAATATAATAAAAATTGAAATTTTCTTTTTATATTAAAATTTATAATTTATTAAGAAATAATTTTTATTTTTATATTAAAATAAAGTTTATTAGTTATAGTTTAACATATATTTTTTTCAGATTTTTTAGATTTTTTCTAAATAAGTTATTCTAATTATAAAATTAATACAAAAATTTTTACTAATTAAAAATGAAATTTAATTAATAAAATTTTTTGCATTAACTTTATAATTAAAGCAACTCTTTCAGAAAAAATCTAAAAAATCTGAAAAAAATATATATTAAACTATAATTGATAATCTTTATTTTAATATAAAAATAAAAATTATTTCTTATTAAAATTATAAATTTTAATATAAAGAAAAAATTTCAATTTTTATTATGTTTTATTAGTAAATTTAGTCTCTGAGTTATTACTTTTAATTACCACTGTAAGTAAAAATTTAATTCTTATTATTTATAATAAGTATATCTTTTATTCTAATAATAAAAAAAGAAAAATTGAATATTAAATAAGAAGATACTATTATGAAAGAAAAAAAATAAAAAATTAATTATGATAAATAAATTTCTTTTAGAGATTTATAATTAATTAAGACTAAGTAAAAAGAAATAATATCTTATTTAAATATTTTTATAAAATATATTATTATTTTATATTTAATAAAAATTAAAAAGATTATTAGATAATTAAGTATTTATTAAATATAAAATAATTTTTATTTTTTAAAATAAAATTTTTTAATATAATAATTATCTTTAATAATAGTATTAATAATATAATATATAAAAAAAATTTTTATTATAAAAAAAAGAATCTGAAATTTGAAAAAAATAATTAATAATATAATTAATAACTTTTATTAATTTTAATAAATAATAAAAAATTTAGTAAATAAATATTTAAAAAAAATTAGTTTGATCTAAGTATATAAGAAAAATATTGAAGAAAAAAAAATTTTAAAGAGAAAGTTAAACTTCAATTATCAAGTATATAAGAATTAGTGATAAATATTATAACTATTATAATATAATAATACTTTATTTATCATAATATTATTACTTAAAAATTACTAAGATTATAATTAGTTATAACTTAATTATTATATTTTAATAAGAATAAAAATTAACAAAAGAATCTTCATAAATAAAATATTATTATAATAAAATAATTTATTTAAAAATTATGAAAATATATAAAATTATATTATAAAAAAATTAATAAAATATATATACAAAAAATTCAAGTCATATAGATAAATTTCATAAAATAAGCAAATTTTATTTAAAAATAAAACTAATAATTTATTAAAGTAATTAAATTATACTTTAAAACAAGTTAATTTTTTGTTCACGTGACACGCGAGCAAAATCACGTGATTCCAGAAAAGATATCGTAAATCGATTGACTTCAAAATGGGACAAATCACGTGATTGTAGTCTTTTAAGTGTTGCGCTATATAAATAAAGAAAATAATGGATGTTTGCAAATTTTACAAAAAAGTCACTGTGCCTATAAAATTGGGTTAATGTTCGACAAGAGTTATATATATATATATTTCAATATGTTAAAAAGGAAACAATACAATTCAAAGAAAGATTCAGTTATTAAATTTGTTTATCTGTCGAATTAAATTATATCCCTCCTCGACATAATTAAGTGGTTGAACCTCAACAAGGGTGTACTTGATTTTTTCATTATTTTGGTAATACTCACTTTTCGCACGACACGAAAACACAAAGGATTTGAATCGCATTGACTTAAAAGTCGCTTCAAACTTATTATATTCATTTCTTTCCATTTGAAGCAGTTCACTAGCTTCGATGCCAAGAAGCTTCAAGGCGGTGTCGTGGAAAGCAGAGACCCAAATGAGGCCACTGTAATCTAATACGCCAACAGTGAATAAATATCGGTAGTCTGGTTGTTCTATAGTTTCTTCACATTTACTGCAGAACCAAGAATCGTCCTCGTTATCGATTACTTTCTTTTTGCAATTAGGGCATGCTGTATAATACCAAGGGCTTTTCTCATAGACGAAAGCAATGGTGCCTACGACCGAGAAATAATCTGCCTTATCATTTCTGCCTAACGCAGGATCATTTATGACCTGTGAAATCGTCTTCCTGGATAAATTTTCAAAAGAGATGGAAATTCCTGTGGCATTAGAAAGAGGCTGGAAATTTTCGTCATTGCCATGTGAGATAAACCATCTAAATAAAGTTTTTGCTTCGTCAATATCAGGGTTGATTTGAAAATGGCTATTGGCGTACATTGAAAGATTGCGACCTTGAAAATCTCCGACCCGAGCTTTCTTAATTGCGATAACTGAATTGTCCTCCACCTGGAACTCCTCTGCTAATTTTCCCCAAAGTGCTAGTCTTACCGAAGTGAAGGTTTCATCTACCAATACAAGCTCACGCTTAGTCACATACTTTTGATTTTTTTTGGAAAAAACCTGTAAGGTACCATTATCTTTCAAAACTATGGCAATGATATCAATCATGTCATCTTTGTTGAACTCATTTAACCGATTCAGTTTTATAAAATTGTACTTTATATTCGGTATCCATGATTCTTGGCATAAAATGACACTTGTAGTTTTTTCCAAATGAATTTCGTAATCGCTGCATATAGCGGATGTTTTAAATCTCGAAGTTGTAACCTTCGCATTACTGATCATGTATACGTGATCCTCCTCAATTAGATTGTAGAATTTTTCGCAGGCATCATTGAAACAGACAACTTTGATCTCACCCGAGTCGTCCATGATATTAAAGCTGAAAATTTTTCCCTCGCCACGTTGATTAGTGTATGTTTTAATCTCGGACTTTTTTATCACTTTTGCTTTTAATGACCATTTATTTTGATAGGGGTTGAGTGATACGATTGAGAATAAGGTATGTTCATTACTATGGCAGGGATTTGAATTGATTGGAGATAAAACAGGACAACTCGTGTTTTTTGTATTGGGATTAGGTCTTGTTATGTTATTTGCAAATTGTGCATTATTATGCATGCTTTGTGTGGTAATAGAAAGATTTTGCGGAGCTTGTTTCTGTTGTTGATGATTTTGAATCGGCGACTGTTGTTGTAATAATTGTTCCAGTTGCTGTTGCTGTAGTCGCAATTGCAATAATTGCTGTTGTATTTGTTCTCGTGATGGCGGCTGTTCTAGCATATTGCTCATATCCGGATTGCCAATTTGTCTGTCCGGAGTCGAAACAATATCAAACTCACAAACCAACATTGTTGCTAAAACCTCGTCGAATTTTTTATTAATCCTAAAGTCTCTAATTCTGATAATCGAATATTGTTTTAACGCCTCCCAATTACCTAAATGACATTTTTTAACTGGAATCAGCGCAGATACGACTTTGTCACCGTCCGATAATTTAACCTCTATACTTTTTTGTGGTGGTCCCTTGTATTCATAAGGGTCATAAGACTGAGGCCCAACATTTCGAATGTTTAAGATTTGGAGGTGTGGAGGGTCAGAGGTCTCGTCGTTGATTAGTTTTGTAACGCCGCCGCGTGTTAATTTAAATGCCATCTATTTCTTAGGTTTTCTTAAAATTTTTTAGTTCGAAAAAGGACGTTTTTCGTGTTATAAAAAACAAACACATCTTTGTATTAGTGTCAAAGTGCTGCGTCACGCGACAAATTTTGTAAGGGAAATAAAAATACTCCGAGTATACTGCGAAATTCCGTGACTGGAATAATATCGCAGAATCTAATTTCAAGCATTTAGTAAAATTTTATTTATATAAAAAAAAATTATAAAGTCTTACATTTATACAAGAATAGAAAGGGGATGGGCGAAAGAAATGTAAAATTGACATAGAAGGAAATAATATAAAAAAGGGATGTCTACAAGGAAAAAAAACTAATACTATTACTATTATATGCTATTATATTGTAAATTACACTACCAACCATTATTATGCATAGGAAAAAAACGGTGTAGCGTGAAGGTGAATTATGTAAATTGTCCATCAATCAATTGAAGTATTATGATTATTATTTTTGCTATTTTTATTATTATTACTATTATTATTGTTATTATTATTGTTATTGGAATCCGAAGCCTGTTGTGCCTTCAGAGATAGCAAGCAACATCTGTGATCTTAATTGTTCATAATTGTCGTATTCAGGAATATCCAATTGATTGAAGCTTTAATGAATGAAATAAAAAAATTATGTTAAAAAACGTGTCAAAGTATGCAACCAAAAATTAACTAATTTTTTTTAATAAACATACCATGTGTGAGCTGATGGAAGACGATCTGGACTCGAGAAATCTTTATGTATTTGGAATTTCTGGACACCATGTACACCCTGCAGTGCCGAAAAGCCTTCTAGCGGAACTTTAGAAGTGCCGGTGACAAACTGCAATAATTTGGCTCGTTCTTCTTGATCAAAGCTTCGTACTGCTCGCCAGAACCATTGAATTTGTGGTGACGACGAAGTGTAGTTCTGGTATTCGGTGTTATTTTTCCAGTCGTCAATGTCGATATCAGGCATTCCAGAGATGAGCAACTCTAGTTCTTGTTCGTTGAATATACTGATTAGATGTGGTGGAATGATTTCGTGGAATCCAGCAAGGAAGTTTGCTATTTGATCTTTGATTGCTAATGTCAATTTCTGTTCCGTCACAAGTTTCACATATTCACGTTTATTTTCTTCAGTGACGCGTATATTTGCACCACCTGGCTTCAATTCAACTTGTTTCGTTGCACCGAAATCATTATCTTCGACACTGAACGTCAAATCATCCATCGCTGAGATGTCATTTTCTAATATCCATACTAAACTATTATAATATTCCAGATCGATGGCTTCGACGTCTCGATAGTCGACAGGTTTGCCAAGAATATGTTTATAGAATGAACGAGTGAAATAAGCATCTAGTAATCGTCCATCATAAATAGCTTTGCCAATTACACGACCAACGAATTTGAAGAATAATAAATGTTCAGGATTAACAAAAGAAGCTCTGTTTGGTTGATAAGTAAGTCTGTCAGCATTGGAAGTCTTGAACAAGGCATAATTTTCGTTGAACATTTGTCGGGCAAGCACTTGGAACCATTCTCGCGTGACACCACCAGCATCCACGCCTTCCTCTTCATAGAAACGAACACTTAATTTTCCATATTTAATTTCATCACCTGATCTTCGTTGCAAGTATTGGAAAGAGTCCTCGAATACATATTGTCGACGAACGTTCAATTGTAAGGTGCCATAATGTTCGCGCCCACTTGGCCGTTTGTGAAGTTGTTGTGTGAAGTAATTTCGTTTATTATCAAATTCAAGAATCTTTGGATTATGCACAAGCAATGAGAAGGATCCACTCATTAATGAAGGATTATTTCTGACCATGGTATTAAGAATCTTTCTGTGATCTTCGGTAAATGTGAAGAACAATTCATCCATGGTTTCATTAGTTTTCGCTGTTGTTGGCGTTGTTACCGATGTTTCGCCAGCTTGTGATGTGAGAGTTGTAGTAGTCGGTCTCATTCCAACATATTTACATACAACCATTAGTGATTCAATTAAAGGTAAAAGTACAGTTGCCACGTGAATCATATCAGACTTCTCATGTATTGTAGTTAAGCATCGACCCAATTTCTTCCATAAGTCCGTAAACTGTAGACTATCATAAATGTTCATTACTTTTTCTTCATCTTGTGTCAATTTAGTGCCTGATTTTGTGATATCAGCTTTAGTTCTTGGAAGTGTTGTGTCCGCTTGTTCAGGATCGACAGTCGGCGCCAAAGCAACTTCAACTTGTGTATTAGAAGTGGTTGTTGGCTGCTGTGGTTGTCGTTTAGAGTACATATAATCGATAGTTTTAAGAACTCGGAGCAGCTTAGCTTGTTTAGAAGATGAAGGCGAGAAGTTTGATAATGTCACGCCTTGGACATCAACACCCGAATTTGCTTGTTCTAATACTTGTGCTAATTCATCAAGATCTTCAAGGATGTCGTTACCCAAGGATTGAGCTTTCTCTACTAATTCTGATGTAATGACATCACGAGCACCACTTAATGTTGAGAGATAATTTATTACATTCGAGGTGTATTTAAAGGTGTTGCTTGTACATTCGCCAGCAGTCAAGACATTAACTACTAATCGTAGGCAATGATCAGGAATTACCGGTGGTTTTAATGTTGGTGTTTCTGATTGGGAAGGTTTTGGATTCGATGGTCCTGCAGTTGCTGAATTACTATTTTCAGTATTCGAGTTTGAACCTTGCTGATTATTCGCTGATTCATTATTATTCTGATTCGAATTCAAATTTGTGTTACTATTCGGATTATTCGAGTCGTTATTTGAAGTATTTTGTTCATCAGGAAGATCCGTAGATTCATTAACTGTAGAATTATTACTTGCAATGTTTTGTTCATTAGAAGATTGTGTGTTGCTTTGTTCCGTAGCAGGTGGATCATTCGAGACTGTATCAGTTAAATTACCAGTATCAGCGGTTGAAGATCCTTCTGCAAGACCATTATTAGACTGTGAAGATGATGATGGCGATTTTGCAGATTCAGATTTCGTCATTGTTGATAAAGGACGTAACACAAACGACAAGAGATGCATTAATTGGTCCATTAAAGTGGTGTTTTTGACAAATACTTGCTTGTCTAATAAACTGAGTAATACAACAACCGGATATTTGCTAGTGATAACTTTTGATTGCTTCTCCTTTCCTTTCTTGCTGTTACTTCTCTTTAATCCAATGATTTGCTCATGTTCCGTCAAGAAATAATTAACAGATGCTTCATTATAGGTTATTATATATGTCAAAGCTTCTAGACACCGCTGCGCAATTAAATTTGGCACATTTTCACCAGCTGTTTGAGCAATCTGCGAAAGTATATTGGCACTGTTGCCTTTTCCTTTTATAGTACTATGTGGTGTTCCTTTATTCTTTAAGGACATTTGCGCAAAACTTTTATCTACAGCCGCGACATCCGCGCTTCCATCTTGAAGAATCGATAACAACATTGATATTAATTCACCACGAGTTTTGCTGTTTTCGCAGAGATTCAAAAGTAATTTGTGTAAAAGATTTTTGCCAAGTGCTTGAGGTAAGAAAAGAAGGCGAACCAAGGTGGCTAAACCTTCGGTATCAACAAGTTTCATGGCGTCACGATGTACTGTCGGTTTTTTAGGTGCATGTAATGGTGCAGCATTTGCCAATGCTGTTCTTGATCGTACACTTGTGTATCGTCGATTTGCTCTTTCGCGAAGAGAGTGAGCTTCAGCAACAATTGCAGGTGGCAAAGATTGTAAAATCATTTCATCTTGTTCCATTAGTACTTGTTGACGGAGTATTGGATCCAAAGTGGCAAAGAAAGTAGCGTTATCCATTTCTGCTGGAATGCCTGCTGTTGGTTGTTCACGTTGTTGTCGTTCTCGTTCAAGGTCTTGTTGCTGTTGAAGAACTTCATCGCGGAGTTCTTCGGGTAAAGCTGATAGAAATTCTGGGCTAATTTGACCAGCAGGTGCAGCAGGTCTTGCACGATGACGCGGCAAATGTTCATTAAGTACTTCTTGTCGTAAATCTTCAGGTAGTGCTTCAAGAAAAGTCGGATCAATGCCGGTGTCCGTGATGTCTACAGACTCGCCGTTCACCATAACAGTAGTTCTTTCCTGTGCTGGCGGTGCATTCGCAGTTTCACTTTGATTTTCAGCGGCTTCATTCGTGGCTGATGTAGATTCAGTTGTCATGGCGACATCCGAAACGCTAGTAGCGGCAGTAGTTTCTTCTGTAGGTACACCAGATTCTGAGCCCATTGAAATATCCAAATTAGAAGTCACTTCTTCCGATGTTGTGTTACCCACTGCTATTATGTTTTCTGCTGTTTCCATTGAAGAAACCGTAGTTTCTTCTTCCATTGCAGAACCGGAAGATGGAATATCAACAGGTCTAGTTGCTTCTATTATAAATGATGTTTGTTCTTCCATAGCAGCCATAGATTCGATTTCTGCAGATTCATGCTCAATCGGGGGAGCATCTTCAATCATAACATCACTCTCTATTATATTACTTGTGATCTGTTCGGTTAGTGTTGCTTGATTATCTTCAGCTGTAGTAGAAGCACTTGTTGAGGCAAATTCGGATTCCAATCTTACTCTTTCTGCCTCTTCATATTCCTCGTCTTTGTCCTCTTCTTTTTTACGATTTTCTTCCTCTACTTGTTTGCGCTCTTCCTCTTCTCGGAGTCTGCGTTCTTCCTCTTCTCGGAGTTTACGAGCTTCCTCCTCTTTACGTTTTTTCTCTTCTATTAAGGCTTGTGGTACTAATGCATTTAATATGTGATTTACAAGTTTTGCAGCTTTATCTGCTACTCCGGTCCCATACATTATTCGTGCTTCATCATACCAACGTTGACTAGTAGGTGCAGGAGTAAATTCTTGAACTGCTGCCACTGGGTCTCCTGAAAGAGTAGTGACTGCACTATCTTGCGATGTCACTAGTGGTCTCGCGAACATACGATCAACTTCAATTCCACTAACTAGTCCTGTTGATCCTGGATTTAATTCAAGACGATATGTTGATGGGCCACCTAAACCTCGCCCTCTGTTCAAAAGTTGTTCTAATAACTGTACTGCCCCTCCACCTATTAATTCTTCGATTGATTGTGTCCAGTCACCTAAAGGACCGTTTCTTGAGCTACGGCCTCGTAGCTGATCTGATCCCGAGACTGTAGGAAGTGCTGGAGAGCGATTGATAAGTAGTGGATGTGATGATACATCATCAACGCTTGTGGTTATTGGACGACTTCTGCCTAACCCCGGAAGATCTTCATTTCCGAGAAATTCATGACGACCTTGGTCACTTGTATCTCCCCATAAATAATCAAGACTATCTGGTTGAACTTCTAGAATTGCACGACGGGCTGAAATTCCTCGATGACGTCTATTACCAAAGCTAAATAATGCACGAGGACGTATTGCCGATGCTGATATTTCATCTTCATTTACAAACAATGTATTATGGTTATTCCAGCCCAAATTGAAACTGAGACGATCTTCGTATCCGTCATCAATTGCGTCACCGCCAGTCAACACATCGTTATTTTCTCCCACTTCATCCTCCTCTTCGTCATCGTCATCATCGTCTACCTCCTCCTCCTCCTCATCGTCATCATCAACAAGCAGCATGCCACCGTCGTCGTCTTGAGCAAATGGGTCATGTCGTGTATGACGATGACGGCGGCCTTCCTCATTTTCAATAACTTCAATATCTCCATGATCTATCATTACAGATTCACTAACAGTAGCCCAAGGCATTGATTGACTTTGATCGTGATCATGTTCATCATCATCGTCGTCATCTTCTTCACTTTCAGATTCATCGTCGTCGTGATGTTGCCCTTCAGAGATGTGACGATCTTGTTCACGGTTTATTTCAAAGTCAGGATCTTCGTCTTCGTCATCAGACATTTCGGAGTGACGTTGAGCTGATGGAGGAATTACAATTTCAACATCCATATCGTCACCTTCCTCATCGTTATCGCTCCCTTCGGATTCTTCGTGGCTTACATCACTAAGATCACTGCCAGATTCTTCGTATTCATCATGTTCATATGTTTCTTCGTCATCTTCGGATGAATCATCTACTTCAGGTTCAGGATTTAGTCGGCCTTCAAGAGCACCAAGGACTGAATTTTGATATAAATCTGGAGTATCCATTACTTCGGTATGAATTTCCTCAGTAGATAAAGACGACACAGAAGAAATGCTATCACGTCGAGGTGGTTGTCCTTGGGCATCTTTACTTGAAGGTTCAGGGGTTCGACCAATTTTGATTGCAACTTTTGTTAAGAATTCAAATGGTTTCAACAAGGCATTAATTAAATTTTTCGATGATGGATAATTAAGATCGACTTCAGCCAGGGCACTTGTTAGTGTATCTACAAACTTCTTGTCGAGCATTAATTTTGCGATGCTACTAGGACCATCTTCGATTGGTTTATTGACATTGTTATTGGGCGTATTTCGGGCAGTCAAAAGTTCATAGCACAGTTCAGCCAGACCAAGAAGTCTGCCATATTTTGCTTCAAGTGGCTCATTGGAAAGAATAGCACTGTTAAATGCTCGATTAATACAATCCAAAACAAATTTTCTAACCTGTGCAATTTCTGGATTAGGTTTTTTATCCTCGGACTCGTTGTTATATGAGCAAAGAGCCACAAAGAACGCCACTGTCCATTTAGATTGCCCAAGACGTTTTCGCATCTCGACATCAGTTGTTTGTGTGACACATCCGTATGGTAATAGATCATTTAACAAATAATTAACGAGAGCAGGGCGGTGATGTTTTGTTGGTGTATTTGGACCGGTGCTTGTTCGTCGACGGGAAAGATTAACCACTTCGATTTTGCATGAAGGATACGAAGAAAGCAATTCTGTTAAACATTGAAGAATGAAGCAACGAGAAAGGTATTCCTGATTTTCTTCTGGTTTAAAGTTTGTTATTGTTGCTGGTTGATTACTATTAGTATTATTATTCAGAGACACAGAAGCAAGATCAAGAAGAGTTGAAGATGAGCCGCTAATAATATCATTTGTAGCTTGTTTCTCTTGATTTGTTTGTTTTGGCGTGTGCTCGCGTATTGTCATTAACTCATTTGCCAGAAAATACACTAAATTCTCAGATCCTTCAGTGTTTGATAATGATGCAGATTTTTTGCCTTTTTCAGCTGATGCAGAAGTTGATGGAATAACGTCTGTCATTTCCTCTTCGTTAACTATATTGTCTCTTTTTTCTGTGGATGATGATGACGTCGCATTATTATTATTATTGTTGTTGTTGTTATTATTATTCGACTCATCCGCTTCTGGTCGAACTAAAGTAATTTGTGGATTTCTTCCAGACGAATCATATTTCGCTAATTTACACACATTCTTAGTAGATTGCACAAACACTTGTGGATCACGTAGAGTAAACTGACTATTATTGCGAAGGTAAGTGTTAATATCGACAACGCGAGGACGAGGATGCGAGAACCAATTTTTTATTTCACGATCCATAATAGTTTCGAGAATTTGGGCATCCTCCACAATATGTCGTAAAATCATGACGATAAACACTTGCTGGCGATGGAAATCATGAGCTTTGGATTTGAACAGGTTAAAAAGTATCGGGAGGCCATTTCTTTTGACAAATTCAATTGCAACGGAGTGTCGACGAGTAAGTCGAACCAAGATACGAAGCAATGCATGACGAACATCTTTGTCAAATTCTCGTTTTTCAATCAATGTCAAGGTGTAGCCTAAAAGACTTGACCTTTGCTCATCCGTCACTGAGACTTTACTCGTATCAATATCATCAATATTATCTTTGGAGTCCTCGGGCTTATAATCAAGTGGTACAGTTGTTGGCTCATCCGCTAAAGAGATGAATGCTTCTACGACTAATAAAGCAGGCGCAAGCCAATTTGACAAAGGATTTTCGACAGACAATGTAGTTTCATGTGAAATTAGATCGAGAACAATTGGTAGGATATAGAGCGGCATTGTTGATATTTTAGTTTGAATACTAGCTTCATTTAATAAAAGCGCCAAAAGTCGTAATCGCGAACCCAAGACTTTGGTGCGTTGCGTATCGGCAAACTGCAAATCAATAGAAGCATCTTCGATACTCTTGAACACTAGTTCAATGCTGCTTTCGAATTTTTCTTTACTAATCAACACAAACAAATCTCTAACTTCGAAAATGATGTCTTCAACTTTTGTTAAAAGATCGAGTGCATGCTGAGCAGCAGTCATTTTAATACTTTCCCGCAATGATTTGAATTGTTCTATCGTGGAAACTTCTTTTCCTTTGCCTTTTTCCGCTTTCTTGGAGACAGGGTCCATATCCATCGGAACTGAAGAACCATTTAGACTACTATCTTCGGCGTCCCCTTGCATTGACATAACTATCGCTTGTTCAAGAGCGGTTTGATCATCGTTAGACGAGCTTTCCTCTTCATTTTCAGCGTTGTCGAGCGAGGTAATTTGCTCTGCATAAGTTGTTTCTGTTTGAGTATCATTACGCGTTTCTTGTGTATTTTCTTCGGTATTTGATGCTGATCCGGCTTCATTGCTATTATCATTACTATTATTATTGTTATTGTTATTATTGTTGTTGCTGCTTTCATTGGCCTCAGATGCTTCTGTTGCTGCTGCGAAAACAGCAGCGGCTACCATGTCTGGATGTGTAACCAAATATTCGGCAGCTGTATCGGTATGATTATTACAACGTAATAATGCAGTTTCAGCAGCTGAACGCGGGAAGCCCATATCACATAATTGTTGGATTCTTGCTTCGTCTGGGACTAAAGTCCTGCCAAATACATATGGGTTTGTAACCAGATTACTGCTACTTGTTGAGGATCCTTCTGCTCGTTGATTAACCTCACCGTCTCCCTTCAAAATCTGAACCAAATTTTGAATTACAGATTTTACTATATTTGCCGGTGCTGTTTCCAAATAGGAACTTTGCCAAAGCTCGCTGATTACAGGGAAAACATTAGATCTGATATTAATTAGGAACTCAGTGGGATCAAAGAAATCGGCAGATCCACGATCACGATCTTTTGATGTTAACGCGGAAGTATGCGGCGAATCACGTAATGGTTTTGCTGAAGTTATGAATTGGAAGAAATTCAGCGTAATTTCGAGACAGCCGTGGATTCGCGAGAGTTTTTCTTTGGATCCGTCTTCAGGATTGAGCGTATAATCTTCCAGGGCTTGGATTGCTTCGGCTTCTCCCCAGAATTTACGAAGTAAATCTAAGATTATTTTGTTTCCATCTACTCTGTCGAATGAAACTACCAACATGGTTTGAAGAGCCATTTGATTGCGTTCTTAATTAAAATGATAGGAGTTAGTGGCTTTTCCTTTATCTATAATTAAAAAAATGAATTTCTACTAATATTTACCATCCAGAAAAAGAAGCGATAATAAGCCAAGCATGCTAGAAAGATAATTATACTTGTTGATATCGTTAGTTGCTATTAGTCAAATATGAAAAATTAAGATTATCAGTTAGACATTATAATTATTTTCGATACTTCCAGATTATTTATCTTAAAATTACCTTGATTTTTCCAAATTAAATGGTCACGAAGTACTTCGGCAATAGTATCAGAAACTTTGAACGCTTGTTTTTTCTGGTAGGCTTCAGGCGATTTACGACTAAACAGCATTTTAGTCAACCCTAAAATTAAAAAATTTACAAAAAAACAAATCCGATTATTAATTTTATTATCATCAAACAAGTTTTTATTTCCATTATTATTAATAATATATAAAATTTACCTTGAAACAGAGGTGTAAGACACGATGGAATCTGGGAAACCAAAAATTTAAAAGCCTTTGTATTTTTAACTTTGTGATTACTTTGGTCAACTGGTGGTTCATTTACGTCCGTAGCACCACTAGGAGTGGTATCTTTATCCGCGTCATCTAAGGACGGCACTCCGAATATCGAAGATTCGGTAACAACTGAGAATGTTTTTCGTAGTTTATTTGGTGTGCTGTACCATGATTTTGGAACTTTGGATTTTAGAATCACGTTCTCCCAGACACACACCCTGCATGCATAATATCAGAACATTAAAAATAATTCGAAAGTGTTATTAAAATCATGTATTATATTTTTAAACAAGTGAAATGTTAGGATTAATAAATGAATACCGATGAAGCTTTCCAAGCGCAGGCAAGACTTCGTTATCTGCCACAAAGGCTTCGATCACAGAAGGCGAACTTTTGGTATGTGAAAATCCTGGCGTGTAATAAATATCTGATAACAAGCCTACTAGACCGTACAACGTCACCAGAGACCTGAATGTTTTATTTGCTGCTTCTATTGTCTCCGGATTTTTATCTAGGATTATAAATAAATTAATATTTTCATCAAAACAAAGCTGAAAGAAAATTAAACTAGAATTTAAGAGATTACCATTCAAATCAATATAATCGAAAATGACAGCATCTTTTTCACTATCCAAAAGGATTTTGGCATCCTGAAGTGTAGTATTAAGTGCTGATATGACACATTTAACAAAGCTTTTTGAATCGACGTCAGCAATTAGCCGCATCGAATTCGATAAAGCATATGAGGCTGGCGTGTTTCCGAAATCGAATGGAAGCGTTGGTAGAGAGTAGAATTTAATAATGATATCTAGCCCGTTTTGTTTTAGGAAATCTTTGCAGTGGCTTGAATTTTGAAAAAGGCCGTCCAAGAACTAATAGTAAAAAAATTTATATAAATACAAGAATCAAGGCTTTTTTGTATCAACTGTATACATCGTCTCTTGTTTAGTTACCTTGGAAGCAACTTCAATAAGAGAAACCAAAAAATTATCTTTCTTTTCTTCAGGTTTACTATTTGTCTCCGTTGTTGAATCTGTCATCGTGACATCGGCAATGCGTGAAGTTCCAGCAACCGCCGATTCATCACTCGTCGATGCACCAGCAGCAGTCACATAATGCAATTTACTATTGTCATCGTTAATTGGCACAACATCACCTTGACCAATCTCAACAATACGTTTTAGCATATCTATTATGGCATTCATGGCAGTCGGTTTCAGGCTGGGATGATGGCGCATTAACTCGTCGATCGATGTTCCCAGTTGAGAAGCGATGTCACCTTCTTGTATGGATCTAACGTGTTCTTGTGATGTGAATATTGTAAAGAATTTGTTTATTGGGTTGGCTTCGTTGAACATTTCTAGACCTTGCGCGTTTAAACAGATTGCGCCGAATGCATTAGGAATTTGTTGAAGGACCTAATTATTTGTTTGTTGATTAAAAGATGATTACTTTTGTTTTATAGAATAATTAATCTTATTATTTAATCATTTATGCACGCACGTCAACTGAAGTCGGAATCTCTGTGCTTATTGAACTCAAGAAAGTTTGTGGAAGTCGTGCCTCTTGCATTATAGGTAGAGACGTGGGCTCGTTATGAATAAAAGTTGCCATCAAATGAATAGCTTCGAGTATAAAAATTTATTAGCACTTTATAAGTCAGAATAACAATTTACGAGTATAATTAACGCATACCAAGAGAATAGATGCTGCTTCCGAAAATTGGATGATCTAAAACTTTGTTCAATGACTCTGGCAACGACGTCTCAATCAAATTACGTAATCCGTCTGCCGTGCCAGAAGTTTGCATCATATGCAGAACAAACTTGAACATTGATTTTAACAAAGAAGATCTTTCATAGGGAAGAATAAATTCATCGTCTAAACAATATATGAAATTATAAGTTGTTTAGAATAAATACAGATAAGATATTGGATAAGAGAGAAAAATATAAAATTAAGTACCTTTTGTGCCAAATGTAGACGATATTGAGCGACTTGCTCTGATCTCTTCCATTGAATTGCCTTGAATCTCATTAGCCAATTCGATGTCAAAATTAACCTCATCCTAAAATTATAAATTCATATTATACTTTTTTTAAAAAACGTAAATAACAAAAGCAAACGTCGAAAATCAGCATACCTTGATTCGGTCAACAAGGATGTTAACACCGTTGGCATTGCAAAATGTATTGAATGATGTGGTGAATCCATAGACAAGACTATCCAATATAACAACAGCTTTGGTTACGTTCTTGAAATAGCGAATAAAATGAAATTGGTTAATATTCCCAAAATCAATAATACAGGATAAATTCAAATTTTTTGTTACCTTTTCTTGTCCATTTTTTTTGTTACGTAGCAATTGAAGGAGCGTTGGCACTATCCCAGCGGAAATTACCATCGTTCCACCTGTTTGCGTCGAGATTATGCAAGAGATCAACGCGAATAAAGCATCCAAATATTCTTGTGGATATTTTGCTGTAGTCAACGAGTTTTTTATTAATATTCTGAATAATTTATTTATATGTAGTAAAATCAAGAAAATAAGACTTACGATTTTCGCTCTCAAGATCAGCTATTACTCGGCGCAATAGATATAAAAGTACACCGTGATTTGCTGATGCATTTATCGCATTTAAAACTTCACCCAATTTGGAACGATAACGACTAATTCCGTCAAGTGCATAAAAAGCAACAGTTTGAATTTCCTAAAGAAATAATGAAACATAAACAGATTCAATTTTTTGCTTGTATTAAATTCGAAGAATCCAAATTATTATGTTTTCTAGTTACGCACGTAGGGGACCTTTTTTTCAGGTGCATTCTTTTGTTCGGGATGCACCAATTCCGCTAGATTTGCAACAATGTCAGGTTCATATAGGAATAATTTAGTTTGTGCGACATGTTCTGGGATCACATGAGCTATATTAATTGAATTATAAGAATTTTAGAAAATTAATTTCACAATAACAGTATGTTGATGAATAGCAAGAAATAAGAAATAGAATACAAACCCATTATAGCAATGGCAAGTATCCTAATTATCAATAACTGTTTTCTTTTTTCACTATTATTTATTTTTGTCGCAATTCTGATTCGATTTAAAAGAGCGAAATGAAATTCTTCAGGTACTTCATATTCTTCGACAACATTTTTCAGAATGTCTATATCACTTTCGCCCAATTCATGAGCATTGCTAACAGAGATAACCGTGATCCCCTCGCCACCTGTACCTTTTATGGTGGTAGCAGAGGGGGCGGCGGCGGCGGCGGTGGTGGTGGTGGTAGTGGTGGTGGTGGTGGTGGTGGTGGTGGTGTTGCCACTCTCTTTCCGTTTATGTTTTGGTGATGATGTTGATGTATTATTAGAAATGGAGGTGGTTGTGGCGGTAGTTGAAGCAGCCGTTGCTGTGGCTGTGTCAATTTTTTTCGTATCACTCGATGTCCCGGTGGCAGCTTCAGTAGGTGTAAGATGACGATAGAATTGATACGTCAAGATCTTTAGTTCTTCCGGGATAGTGACATTATCATAGGCGAGATCCTTCATTCCGAGATCGTATTCTTTAGTGCCCCAAGCGTGAGCTAAGGTAAGAATGCGATCTTGGGAAATTGAGAAGTTTGTTCGGAGTGCTCTTTGATTACTGAGTCTTTGTGCAGGACGAAGCACTAATCGAAGAACTGTCTCCAGTACATCAAGATCTGCCGTATTTAGTAAATCATTTAGGTGCTATTTAATAAAATGGTGCGAATTTTAGCAATGAATTAGTAATTAGAGAGTTTTTCAAAGGAAGCAAAATGAAAGAGAAAATCAATTGATCGATACCTCATACGAGCTATATAGATTTCTATTGGTACAATTTTCCAACAGTAATCGTGAAAATTTCAATATTGCCAATAAGATACTCTGTTCCACTGTAGTAAACGGCGACGATTGGAGTTTTTTCAACTTGTATTTCTGGCAAATATTTTCAAGAATCGTATCGAATCGGTTTAAAACACCAATCCAATGAAACAGGTCCCCTCGCGGGTAACTCCATTCTCTGATAGAGGCTACTACATTTGGTATTTCTTCATCTTGACAATCAGTCAGAAGTTGTATGATATTTTTGATTGGCGGTATCTGTAGACAAAGCAAATTAGAGAGGAGAAATTGGTTGAGAAATTTGAACAGCAGTTACTAAAAAAAAATTGGAGAATAATTTGCTGCGGAAAAATTGCCAGTTGAAACTATATCTATATACAGAATTAGCTTATAAAATTTTTTTCTTGCATTCGATTGCCTTGGTAGGTCAAAATTAGGATTTGAAAGAACAAGTAATTCCAGTACTTACAGGTACGGACAGCTTCTTTGGTGGCGTTTTCTTTATTTTCATTATGCTGCTTGATCAAGCAGACTAAAGAGGAAAGGTTAGCGTTAAAACACAAATTCTAGTTTGTACGTGTATAAATCGTAAGGTTTTGATAGTGTGTATAGTAGTGGTGGTAGCGGTAGTTGTAGTCTCCTTGTAGTTAAACTTTTGTTTTGAAGAATTAGTTTTTTTGGACCAACCCTTGAGGCACACAGGGGAGAATATTTAGTTATTATTTGGTTGGATTTTTGGTTGGATTTTTGGTTGGTTGGTTTTTTTAGTTTGGTTGGTTGGTTTGTAATTATGAAGACCAGAAAAAGTGTGAGTTCTGTCGTCCTACTTGAACTAAATATGATGACATCAACCAACTATCAAAAGGATTGCGTAACTGCACTGTGTTGATATCGATGTTTGTATATTATTGTTCTGGTGGAGTTCTAATATCGTTGATCCGACAAAAGTGCTTTGTAAAAGTATTCTGCGCCTTGTTTGCCAATCAATTCTTTTTTATTTTTTTATTTTTTCAATTGTGCGCATGATAAAAGAGATTTGATAAACAATAGTGACAAGATTTCTATTAGTCAAGCAGTCTTATTATCATCATCATGACTTATATCAAAAAGTCTCATCAATCTTTGAATTTCTAATACAAATCTCGATCTTAGTTTAACTACATAAATTATTCACACTATATCAATCAAAATACATTCTAATTCGTTCACCAAAAATAGTGCTTCCAACTCGAATATTAGTAGATCCGAGTCTTAGCGCTTCCTCAAAATCCCCCGACATGCCCATACTTATTTCCAAAGGAGTGATGTCAGTGTTAATGGAGAATTCTTCTATGATTTGTTGGTGAATATTTTTCAATTTCTGTTTCCCGTGATTGAACAAGTAAATTAGATACAAAATGAATTTAGTCAAAAAAAAAGAAAAAAATCAAACATACAATAAAATCTGGATTCGGCCCATCAACAGAAGTGTCATGTCCAATTGCGCCAATTGTCATTACACCGGAAAATTCTAAATATTCGCAGTTTTCACGGATGTATTTGACAAGTGGTATACATTCATCAGGAGGAACTCCACTTTTACCTAATGGTAAAAATAATGAATACACACACAGTCGCTGCGAAAGTATAAAAAAATTTCAAAATCTACATACTTTCCTCCCCGCTGACGTTCACCTGCACAAATACTTTTAGTGGCGATTCGCGAGATACGCATGCCTTGTTCATGGCTTCTGCATTTTTTACATTACTGATGGTTTCAACTACCCATAAGTTTGGTATCGCTGTTTCAGTGATTTGAAAATACTCGATCAATAATCCATAATATATAATATCCCACTAAGATGAAAAATATAGAGATATACCAGCTAACATTTTACATTTGTTAGTCTGTAGAGCGCCTATAAAATGCCATTTAATATCAAGAGGAAGCTTTTTTGATGATGAATGAAAGAAAATACGTTTATTAAAGACAACAGCATTCAAACGAATGAATATCAATTCAACCTCATCAGAAGAGACTAATACGAAAAATACCTCTTTGCTTTTTTCAATCAATTCTTGAACCTATCAAAATAATACACCCATAACACACACACACGAGAGACACGACATTACAACAATCCATGCAAATTTATATCTAAGAAAAACTTATTTACATGTAAAAATTAAAATAGATCATACATAATTCTCACCAAAATGGCGTTGACCAGCCTCATACGCGCAAAGAATATCAAAGATTGGTTTCAGCTTACTAACGGCTACAAGTCTGGCCTACACATGTGAATAGAATTCAGTTCATTATTTAATAAATAAAAAACGAAATAAATGAACGACCCAAAGCATGATAATTGTTAACCTGACTTCTCCCTTCCAAGGCAACTTCCATGCGTTGCCTAACCTTTTCGAGATTAGATTTAATTTCTTGTCGTCTTAGTTCGTTTTGACTATCTGACATTAGTTTAGCTGTTGTTGTCAAGTTAATCCGGGAACCCAAAACTTTGTGAGAAAATAACAAACGGTTCGAAGTGGAGAGTGGTTTTATCGGCAAAAAACATATAAAATATAAAATATTGATATGTACGTAAATCGAATCCAAATTTGAAACAACGGTTAATCCAAAAAATGTCAAGTGCTTTCTGAGGTTTTTCATGCTTCACCTCGAGTCAATTTTTTTCTCGTGAATTATTGTCCGCCAAACCGATTTACCTTCCACATTAAGATCCACTATTGTTTTGATAGTTTAAAATCTATTTTAACTTTGTTGGCGTCGAGATTTATTGTTTGAAGGTTCTATTTCTTGCACTTTGCGTGCCCATCGCGTTTCTCATCAATTCACTTTGATTTTGGTAATTTTCATAGAAAACGAGATATTTTACTGGCTTCGAAACAAAAACACGTTTCATAACATGTGCTTAACATTTGCTTCTTTATTAAAAAAGTGATTTTATAAACATTAAACAACCATGTCGACTTCTATGCGTGGACTGACCGTGTTCATCGCGGACATACGAAACTGTATCTTTTTGAATTTTAACAGTTGCTTTCTTTTTTTTAATAAAGTGCCGCAAGAATTGTAAAAAGTTTAAATTATTCCTTAATCTTGATACGCGATTTACAGGTCGAGTTAGAGAGCTAGAAGAAAAACGAATAAATAAAGAGATGGCAAACATTCGAGCAAAGTTTAAAGGTATGCCTTTTATTTAGCTCATGCATCATTCGAAGGAAATACGAAATATTCTATTTCAACGTGTATAATTCTTTTTTTGAAAATATTATCTCATATAAAGATGGCAATTTAAATGGATACCAAAAGAAGAAATACGTATGTAAACTTTTGTACATGTACATACTTGGCTGGGATATCGATTTTGGGCATATGGAAGCTGTTCATTTGATTTCAAGTAACAAATATAGCGAAAAACAAATTGTGAGTGTTTTTGCATTTAAACTGTTTTCTATTTAGATAAGGGTATTAACAATTATTTGTGCTTGCTATAGGGTTACTTGGCAGTAACTCTTTTAATGCATGAGAATAGTGACTTGGCGCGTCTAGTAGTAAATTCTATACAAAAAGATCTTTTAGAAAATAATGAAATATTTAACTGTCTAGCCCTACATGCGATTGCTAATATTGGTGGACGGGAAATGGCTGAATCATTAGCGAACGACGTTCACAAGCTATTAATCTCTCCGTGAGCGAAAATTTTAGTTTACAATGTGTGATTGTACCGTACCTCCATATGTTTTTATTAATATAATTACCGATTGTTTTAAGAGCTTCAAAAGGGTTTGTTAAGAAGAAGGCGGCGTTGACCTTGTTACGGATGTACAGAAAACATCCTGATGTTATTCCCGCCGTAGATTGGGCCGAAAGAGTTATACAGCTAATTGACGATTTGGATTTGGTAAGTAATTGTTCCAATAAATCCTCTTTTAGTTTTAAATTTTTTATTTAATACTAATTATGATTTTTTTAACATAGGGAGTTGCCTTATGTGTCACTAGCTTGATAATGGCTCTGGCTCAAGACAATTTAGAGGCATATTTGGGCTGCTATGAAAAAGCAGTCAGTCGACTTAAAAAAGTAATATTAATTTGTTTTCTTTTGATAAAATCAACATAATTTAAGATCTCATACTAATGATTTGTTAGATCGTGGTAGAGAAAGAATACTCTCTGGATTATGTTTATTACAAAGTTCCAATTCCTTGGTTGCAAGTAAAACTACTAAGACTTTTACAATATTATCCGCCATCAGGTAGGTGTCAAATTTTTGCGTAAATTCGCGGTATGAAGTTCCTTTATAGCATTAATCATGAATTTTTATGAATAGATGACGAAAGAGTGCGTGCCGAATTGCATGATGTTCTCCAAGCTATTTTAAGTTCCTCACAAGAAACACCGAGAAACGTGCAACATAATAATGCATAAAATGCAGTTTTATTTGAAGCCATCAATCTTGCCATTCATTTGGATAGTGAATCACAGATTGTCAATCAAGCCGCTCTATTACTTGGACGTTTCATAACTTCCAAAGAGACTAATGTTCGATATCTTGGTTTGGAGACAATGGCACATTTGGCAGCGTGTGTCGATTCTTTGGAACCGATAAAAAAGCATCAAGATACTATTTTGTTATCACTTCGGGATAAAGACATTAGTGTGCGTCGTCGAGGCCTAGACCTTCTCTACAGTATGTGCGACGTGACAAATGCTAAAGCGATAGTAACCGAACTGCTTCGTTATTTGAATATAGCAGATTATGCTTTACGTGAGGAAATGGTGCTGAAAATTGCCATATTAACCGAACGATTTGCCACCGAGTACCAATGGTATGTGGACATTATACTACAGCTTATTAGCACAGCCGGTGATCATGTTGGTGAAGAAGTGTGGTATCGTGTTGTGCAAATTGTGACCAATAATGAAGAATTACAAGAATATGCGGCAAGAACTGTCTTAATTCATTTACGTTCGATATCATGCCACGAAAGTCTTGTTAAAGTAGGCGGGTATATACTTGGCGAATTTGGACATTTAATCGCAAATATACCTGGAGCTAGTGCCATTGAACAGTTTCACGCCATTCATTCGAAATTCGGCTTGTGCACACTACAAACAAGAGCTTTATTATTGACCACATACATTAAATTTGTCAATCTTTTCCCCGAAATAAAAGGTGACATTTTATCAGTGTTTAATCAATATCGTCACGTACTTGATGCGGAGTTACAACAACGTGCAGCCGAATATTTGGCAATCGCCACGATGCCAACCGATGATCTTTTACAAACAGTCTGTGAGGAGATGCCGCCATTCCCTGAACGGGAATCTGCACTTCTTTCACGGCTGCATCAACAACATTCAGATACCGAGGATAAACGAACATGGATTATCGGAGGAAAGGATGTAAATAAAGAACGAGAAAATTTACGAATGTCATCCTTGATAACTCGTAGTAATTCTTCGGATAACAAAAAAACCAATGGTAATTTTACTATTCACAATGGTAGCACCAGTAGTAACGGGGGAAGCACAAGTAGCAATGGCAACATAAATGGAAGCAATGGATACGGTGATGTTGACCTTTTAAGCTTTAGTGATCTTAATCTTAATAACGAAATCACGGATTCTCCGACAACACTAACTATTACTTCTCAACGAGGCGTATTACCGGCAGATAGTATAACACCTGGCTCTGAACAATGGTTTGGTAAATTAATCTATATGACAGAAGGTGTGATTTACGAAGACACCCAAATATTAATACGCCTTAAATCCGAGTATCATGGCCATATGGGTCGAATAGCACTCTATTTCACCAATAAAACTCAAATACAAATCACCTCATTTATCACAGTAATTGAACATATTGAAAATGTAATAATTACTACTCCCGGCCCACCTCCCTCGACAATAGCACCATCCAATCAAATCCAGCAATTATTCCATATTGAATGTCATAGCACATTTACAGGCTCACCAAATTTACGCGTGTCATTTATCATTGGCATTCCCGTTTATACAATTGGACTGCGCTTACCTGTTGTGATCGCAAAGTTCATGGAACCAATCGAATTAAACGGGCCAGACTTTTTCGCTCGTTGGAAACAGATTGGTGGCGGACACCGCGAAGCACAGAAAGTTTTTAAGTCGGCTCATCCAATTGATTTAGTAAATGGTGGAATTAGGAATATGATTAGTGGGTTTAGGTTTGGAATATTAGAAGGTGTGGATCCGAATCCTAGCAATGTTGTTGGAGCAGGCGTTTTACATACTGCAAAGAGTGGCATGATTGGTTGTCTGATGAGATTAGAACCAAATGTCGATGCACAGGTAAATTATCACAAGTCTTTTTCTTCATCCTTGTTTAATAATATTAATAATATGTATTGCTTTTATAAGATGTATCGATTGACAATTCGGACAACTAACGAAATTGCGACGCAAGAATTATGTACTTTGTTAGAAGATCGGCTAACTAACGATAAGTTATAATTTAATGGACATTCAAAAAGACTCAAAACACAAACATTCTTTTTTTTAATTTAAGAGTTTTGATTTTGTTTTCAAAAGTAATTGTGTATTTATAAGACACCAATATTATAATTTGGTTGCCTCTCAATTTTATAGGATTAAGCTTGCTTAATCATGAAAAAAGAATAAGGAGAAATAAATTCTCAAGATTTAATAAAAAATAATAAATATTATTTATCATTATAACAGATTAAGATTGAAATATCTTAATAATTATTATAATATATATAAATATTATTTAAAATTAATCTGCATTTTATATTTTACTATCTTAAAAAGTTATTTTTTAATATTTTTTAATTATAAGAAATTATAATAATTTGATTAAAGATTTTTTTATAATATATAAAGTATATAATTTTGAAATTTTTTATAATTAATTTATTTTATATTAAATTATATATTTTGAAAGATTTAGTTTAATATAAAATAAATATATTTTTTTATATATTATTATTTTAATTTTATTGTTATATAGTTAGATCTTTTTATAATTATATTTTTATATTTAAATTTTTATAATTATTCTTTTTAAGTTTTTTAGTTATTAATTAATTATCTAATTTTACTTTTTTAAATATAATAAATATAAAATAATTTGAATATATAATGATAATTAAAAATAATAATTCAAAAACTAAATTTATTAATTAAATATAGTGAAAATTGAAATTTTTCTATATTAAAATTTATAATTTTATTAAGAAATAATTTTTATTTTTATATCAAAATAAAATTTATCAGTTATAGTTTAATATATATTTTTTCAGATTTTTTTTAAAAGAGTTATTCTAATTATAAAATTAGTACAAAACTTTTTATTAATTAGATTTTATTTTTAATTAGTAAAAATTTTTATATTAACTTTATAATTAAAGTAACTTTCAGAAAAAATCTGAAAAAATATATATTAAACTATAACTAATAAACTTTATTTTGATATAAAAATAAAAATTATTTCTTAATAAAATTATAAATTTTAATATATAATAATTATCATAAGTAATGAAAATTAAAAATAATATAAATCATATATAAAAAAAACTTGATTATATATAGTATGTACAATCACATTTTAATAATAGTTTATTTATTAATATAATATAAAAACAAATCTAAAAAAAAATAATCTTAATTTTCTCTCTTTTTTTTATTATAAATAAAAAAAATTTCAATTATTAATCAATAAGAAACTGTAAGTTATCTTTAGAAATATAATATCTGTAATATCTTAACTTTAGTGATATTCCTCTCTCTATAGCATATAAATATATTACTCAACTAAAAAAAAATAATAAACTCAAGCCTATTTCTTGTCTAGAATATTTCATAATTTTAACTTCTCAAAATTAATATGTATTAAATAGAATTATTATAAATGATAAGTATCTTATCTATAATAAAATTATCATAAAACTTTAATTCAAGGTTGAAATATCTATATGAATAGTAAATTATAAGCTTAATAAGCTTGAATATTATTTAAAACTTCTAAAAATTATATCTCTGCTTTTAGAAAAATATTATCTAACTCAAATAGAATAAATAAAAAAATATTATAAAAACTAAAAATTATAGTATTCTCAAATAAAATTATATTTCAAATATTCTGAAATACTATAAATATATTTTATAAAGATGAAATAAATATTTTACAAAAGAAAATTTCAAAATATTCAGAGAAAATTCATGTTTGAAACATGTTTTCTGCATATAAAATAATTAATTTTCATATATTTATCCAAAATATGAATATAGTATTTTATCACAAAATTTTAACTAATAATCTTTTTGAAAATACAAATAGAATTATAAGAGAATATTAGATCTTTTAATAAAATAATGATTCAGATTACAAAAATAAAAGTATTTATTTATCATCAGATTTCAAAACTTTTTAAATAATTATCTTATAGTTCTAATTTTAATCTAATAGAAAATCTCTAGATAATTATCAAGAAAAAAATAAAAAATTAAGTTAATAAAATAGTTTGAAAAGAAAAATCAATTAATATTAGTTATTGGTATAAATTAATTAGAAAGAAATAAGAAAATATTACTGTGAACTTATATTTTAATTTGATAAAGAGAATATCAGATTATATAAATAAAATAATTGAAAATAATAGAAAAAAATAAATTATTAATATATATATATTTTTTAAATATCTATATTTAACTTATATTTCTGTAAAACTATAAGTTAAATGAATAAAATTTATAAAATTTATGACTATAATAATAATTCTTATTATTTATAACAATTATATAAAGAGAAAATTTTAATTTTTGCTATATTTTATTAATAAATTTAATTTTTAAATTATTACTTTTAATTATTATTATAATTATAAATTAAATTATTATATATATAATATTATTTTAATATTATTTTAAGAAATCTTTTAAATATCTTTTCTTTTTATAATATTTTATTTTTATTTATATTTATTATATAATAACTATTATTTAATTTTATTTATATTAATAATATTATAAGTTAATTATATAATAATTTTATTAATTTTAATATTTTATTTTAATATTTTTCTTTTTATTTTAATATTATAAGTTAATTATATAATAATTTTATTAATTTTAATATTTTATTTTAATATTTTTCTTTTTATTTTTGATTTATATTTTTTAATTAATTAATTTATTATATTTTAATAAACTAAATTATTTATAAATTATATTATATTAATAATATTTAATATTAATATATAATAGCAATCAAAAATAATAACTTGAAAACTAAATTTATTAATAAAATATAATAAAAATTAAAATTTTCTCTTTATATTAAAATTTATAATTTTATTAAGAAA